GCGGTCAGCAGTGCCTGTTTAACCCCTTAGGCGGGGCGGTGGGGACCCTGCCAGCGGGGACCTTCGGGTTTGGAGGTGCACGACACGGTCAGCTGTCCGTGCAGCCCTGCCCCACACCACCCCTCTGTCCTTCTGAGACTCCGACGGGGAAGCAGACAGCACCCGAAAACAGGCACCTGGAGTTGCAGGCGCTGGGGCAGGAAGCCAGGGAGGCGGGGAGCAGCTTCCGGGAGGCGGGTTTGTAGCCGGAGGTGTGTTTGCTGCACTGCCCACGGCCCTGTCACTGCGCCTATACCGGCTCGTGTTTGGGCTCTGCGTGGTCGAGCCCTCCTCCTGCAGTTCGGAGGTCATTTGTTCTTTGTTTCCTCTTCTTCCTCTTCCTCTCCCCCAGTACTGGGGAGTAAACCAGGGGCTTCCGCACTGAGCTGCCCGCCTGGTCCTTTTCATTTTTATTTTGAGAGGGTCTCATTAAGTCATTCAGTTGCCCTGGCTGGCTTGGACCTTTGATCTTCCTGCCTCAGCCTCCCAGGGCGGGGTTACAGCTGGTGTCGACTTTGAATATACAAAGACTTCCTCTTGCTGGCAGGGCTGAGTCACCTGGGCCTCAGTTTCCAGCTCTCTGGCCCATCCAGTTTCCTACCAGACATAGCCACCCCCTGGGGACCACAGCCAGGGACAGTCCACGGCCACCTCCAGAGGGACCCCAAGGACTGGCGCCACCACTAAGGCTCCATGGGGAAGCCACTCACTCTGGCACAGCCTGAACAGCGTGGGAAGCCTCCTATCCCTGGTGACCCCACAGGTGCGGCCCTGCTCCCTGGGGCTGCCAGGAGGAACCCGATCCTGCTCTGCTTGGGTTTTGCTCCCTGTGTCCTCTGTGTCCCTCCTGACCACACCCCTACAACCCCGTGTCCTGACCAGCTGAGACAGAGTCAGGGCGCTCAGACTGCCAAGTGCCCTCCCCTCCAGCCCTGGCCGCAGACGCCACCGTGGGCCAGCTCCGAGGGGGCTGCCACGTAAGTCAGGTCCCTCTCACGCTAACGGGACTCTGTAATTAGGGTGCCGCTCCCTAAAGCTCACAAGGCAGCCACCTCGAAGGGAAGCTGACCCGTCCTTCAGGCCACTCACTGGCCCTCCCTGCCTGGCGGCTGGCTGGTTCCCAGGGTGCCCTGCAGCAGCTGTGCCCAGGAACTGCCAGGAGGCTTCGGTGCTCGAGGAGGGCAGAGAACATATCGCCAGCCTGCCCGGGCTCACAGATCTGGCTCACTGATCGTGGGACCCTAGGCCAGGCCCCCTGCTTTGTTACTGGCATTTGAATCCAAGGCTTTCACATTGACCTAGGTGTCCGGTCCTTTCTAAAAAATATTATCATTTTAAGAAGAATCTTGCTCAGTCCCTAAATTGCCCAGGCTGGGTTTGAACGTGTAACCCTCCTGCCTCAGCCTTCCGCAGTGCTGGAATCTCAGGTGTGCACCACCCTGTGGGCTAGGCACGTGTGTTTTCCTCCATACATGATGCCAGCCCAGGAGCTAATGCCTGTCACTTGTGACAGGACTCCTGAGAATTCCCAGGGTGGCACCAGGAAACTCCAGAGCAAGCAGAATCCTAATCCATCCCCAGGCCTGGGGAGCCTTGGACTGTGGGTATGGGGTCCTGCCTTGATACCCAGGGACATTCTCTGTCCATGCAGCTGGACGATGCGACACCACACACACTCAAATACTCGCCCATCCCACGCACACCCACAGCCGGCTGAATCAGCCCGCAGGGCTCGCCCAGAAATGAGTGTGCAAAACCACTGGGCCTGTGTCTTCATGCTGCCTGTCGTGAGAGCCCATTTCCAGCTGGTGTTGACCCCACCTGGCCCCCGACACACCCAGCACCTGCCACCTAGGAAAGAGCTGGGCCCAGGGCCCCTAGAGACTTGGGCCCCGACAGCTTAGGGGGTGAGGATGGGAAGCAGGTGGCAGGTGGACTCTGGGCAGCAGCCGGTAGGGCTTGGCCCAGGACCCTGCCCCTTCCCAGGCATGGCAGCATTCTGACCCTCTCCCAACCTCATGGACAGATGCCAGCAGTGTGGACCCCAGCTGGTACAGACCAGAGGTCAGCAGGGCATCACGTTGGCCTCCCAGGGACAGAAGCCTGGGAGTGGGCGGCCCAGGTCTAACTGAGGTCCTTGCACATCCCCAGCTATGTGGCCACGGTGCCCGGCTCTGGTGTCCCTCCTCTAAGATGCGTCTGCTGACGTGCGGTTGTCAGTGGGTGGCATCCCGGCTGGCCTGAAAAGCTCTGAGATCACCTGACTAGTAGCACAGCCCCAGAGCCCCAGTGCTGTGGGCCTTGGGCAAAATCAGCCTGGTGCTTGTGGCTACCCAGGGCACGGCCCAGAGCGACGGGGGTTCAGTGAGCACGGGTGCCCTGGAGCCTCCCAGGCCGGCTGGGGCGCAGCCGGCACCACCCCAGCAGCCTTCCCTCCCACTGCGCTCAAGTCGGTGCCTGACGTGAGCTCCGTGATGCCCAGCACGAGCCTGACGCAAACACACCCGGCTCCGCAGTTTTCAGCTACGGTCACTTCATTCCAGTCCTTCCTTTGGCCAAGACACAGACTCAGGGCTCCTCCCGGGCAGGTTTTCAAGGACGGTGTGGCCATAGGAACATGGGGAGACTGTGCCCAAAGGGTGGGAAGCCAGGAGGGCTCAAGCCCGTGCCCAGGGCCACTTCGTACTGGGCTCGGGTCCAGAGAGAGAAGCCTCCATGGCCGCGTGGACAGGGCTGGGGCCGTGGGAGCAGGCAGGAGGAGGAGAGGCAGCCGGGTGATGTCCCAAGCCACCGTTCAGAGAGGAAACGGCCAGAAACGCACAGCCTGGGCCCCTTTTTATAAAACCTGCCCCGTCTGGTCTACAGCTCCACTGGGAGAGGACTCGGGGAAGGGATGGGCCAACTGTGGACACCCAGGAGAGGAAGGGGCTCACCTGTAGGCACCAGCACCACACCCGGGCAGCGCAGAATTACAAAGACCAGGGCATCATGACCTTCTGTAGTGGGGGTGACCCACACGCCACTCCCAGGGACAGCATCTATGGTCACCGCCTCTCACACCCTGGGGGCTCCATGGCCTGCTGTGCCCTTGAGTTGCTGGGAGAAGATCCTCACTCTGGGCCTCGGTTTCCCTATCTACAAGAAGTAACAGCCATGGTCTCCAGGACATGTCAGGATTTTCTGCCCCAGGGGACAGGAAGCTGAGGAACAGAAGTTTCCAGGGTGCAGTCCTGCCCGGGGTGCAGCTGTGGGCTGTCATGCTGGGCCTGGGCCTGGCCTCGGCCTCCTGAATGGAAGGATTTCTCACCCTTGGAAGGTTTAGCTGGGAAAGGAAGGTGCAATGCAAAAATAGCAAGGGACCTGGCCCCGAGAGAGCCGGGGACAGAGGCCGAGGTACCCCGCGTGCCCACCCGTTTCATGGTGTCCTCTCGTGGGCTGCTGGAGGTTTGTGTATCTCCGTGTGCAAGGCTGGCCCAGGGCCAGGTGCGTACAGATGGGCCGGGAAGGGTTCGGGAAGTGGAAGGATGAAGAAGCAGATTGGAAGACCCTGGGGTTCCCAGCTCCTGAGGTTCTCGGGGCTGGGAGCCACCCCAGGGTCAGGGCCAGTCACAGCCACACCACAGGCCAGGCCCGGGGCAGGCGCACAGTGGCTTCTGCAGCCAGCGGGGCAGGACAAACCCTCAGCGCTTCCCGTACCCTCCACCCTCACCCACACCCCTTTCTCTCAGCTCTGATCGAACAGTAGGGGAAACTGAGGCCCAGCGTGGGTCCCCACTCACGGGCAAGCAGCAAGTTTTATGGCTGCTGGCACCTGAACGTGTGCCCTCCCCTGGGATCCCAGCGAGAGCTGCTGAACCATTAATTGTAATTAACGAATTATTCCTGCTGCCAACTAGCGGAGGAGGTAGCTGGCGGCCGGGAGCCCCCAAATGACTCACCCATGTTTACAACATGCAAACCCATTTAAGAGCTTGTAAAGTCGCTATAAATGGCTCTTTGGCAGCAAGGGAATAACGATCCCCTTTCTCCAGCTGCCAGTGTAACAACCGTCGAGTTCGGGCTGTCAGGGGCGGAGGCTCTGAGGTCCAACAGCGCCCCCTGGAGGCCGTGTCCCAGATGGCTCTGCCGGGGCTGAGCAGACGCCAGGGTGCAGGGCATGGTACAGCCCGCTGCCCGGGACTCAGGGCGGACACGCCGAGGCCCAAGGAGCACAGGGACGGTCCCTGCGGCTCCGCTGCTTTGGAAGTGTTCAAAGTATAAATCAAAGTCCAGAGTGGTACATGACACTGTTTTCTTTGCCCTGGAGTAAAAATTCTTTAGATGGTGACGGCCGAGGTGAGGCGCTGTGAAAGAAGCCAGCCTGCAGGGCATGGCAGGCACAGTGGCATTACGGATGCAGGTCACGCTGCAAGCCAGGGAGGCGCCTGTCACCGCTGCCAGCTGCCACTGGGGTTTAGCGTCCCCCCGCCCTCACCTCTGGTCCCTGTGCCTGGCCCTTCCCTCCTTCCTCTTCACCCACGTCCTCTGCACAGAGATGCCCTTTCACTGTCTCCTTCCCGCCACCTCTGTGTGCCTGCGACACCGAATCTCCAGGGAGGCCGGGGTCCTCTTGCCATCCATGACACACGGGAAAGGGCGGTGACCCACTTGGGGTCACATGGCAATCACGGTGGGTCTGTGGCCGAGACTACAGCTCGGGGTCCTCGGCTCCTCCCCTGCACCCCACCCCCACTACAAGAAGGAAACTGATCCTGGGGACAGCGGGGGCAGACACAGGGACGGCCTCTCAAATCACACCTGTGGGTGTGGGCGGGTCTAACCCACCGCACTCACGCTGGAGAGACTGAGGCCGCCCGCGTTCACACAGTGCCAGGCGGACCCGATCCCTGATCGAATCTGGGAAGGGGGCTCGGACCCTGCAGCATAAGCCTGGGCGCGGTGGCAGCAGAGGGGACACTCACCCACGGTCATGCCGTCCGTGTAGCGTTTGATGATGTCAAAGGAGTCCCGAAGGTTCCCCTCGGTGATGTCGAAGATGATGTCAGCCTGGTTGGCGGGGTAGAGCGGCGTGACGGCCCGCAGGAAGATGATCTCTGCCGGGAGGCCGGGCACGCAGTGAGGACCCGGCCCAGGGTGGAAGGGTCCTTCCCATGAGCCCAGTGACGCAGGTGGGGCAGGGAGGGGACCAGGGCATCACGGTGTAGCCCACCCCTGGCTTAGCAGGGGAAACAGGTCTGGAAAGATCTGGGGATCCTCCCTGAGGTCAGAGCCAGCGGGCAGCTGAGCCTGCACTGAGAAGCTGCTAGAGCTTAGTTATGAATATTTTTGAAGCTGGGGGGACAGTGTGGGGCCAAGGACCCGGCTCCCCTGACCCCAAGACGTGGACCAGCCCAGCCCCATCTCAGCAGGCGGAGCTGGAGCATCGAACTGCCCTGCTCTGGTTGCCTCGGGGCCCATATTCCACCCTGGCTCGGGGCCGTTTTGGGGGAGATGTCCCTGGGCCTCAGTTTCTTCATCTGTAAAGAGAAGGAGGCACCTGGTTGGCTGGTCTTTCAGTGCTAAAGGTCAGGCTCTGGATGTCCTGGGCCCGAGACACTAAAAGGTGTCTCTGTGTGTGCCCAACTTCCTGTGGGTGACCAGCTGCCACGCCAGCCCTGGCTGGAGAGGCCACAGAGCCGGCCGTTGGGGGTTTGGGAAGGATTTGCTGCGGTCTCCTAGAACCTCATGGCTCTGCACAAGGCAAACACCGTCAGGGATTCCTTCCAGCCTGAGCCGTGGCCGTGGGGAGATTCTGGGCTCTTCCTTCTCTGCAGGGAGGAATAAGCCAGTGGGAGGGAGCCGGGCTGGGACTGCCGTGTCCTGGGGGTCCCTACTGTTCTCTCCTCCACTGCCGGGTTTGTCCTCAACTGCAGTCTCTGCTGTGGCCCCTCAGCCTGACATTTGGGGTTCGGGGCTGCTGAGTGGCCTGGTGATGGAGAGCTCCTCTGAAGGCCAGAGAGGGGACCTCAGAGCAGAAGAGGGTGGCCAGGGACCACCCTGCAAGGCACTCAGCTGTACACCCCAGTGGTGAGGTGCATGGAGTGGGGCTCCAGCCACATCGTGGATGCTGCAGTCCTGCCCTGGGAAGCGTGTAGCAACAGCACATCTACACAGCCTGCCAGGAGCTCCTCGGGAGAGCCAGGCTACGGACCGTGTACTGCAGGCACCCTGCTTCCAGGCCCCAGGCCCCTGCATGAAGTTTCATCGTGCAAATTCCAGCAGCCACAACCTTTCAAGGACCCCTCAAAGCCGTGGGTGGAGCCCCAACTCCAAGCCCAGGCTCTTGCCCACCTTTCCAACCCAGCCCTCGCCAAGCGGCCGTACTCTGCCAGAACAAGGTGGCTTGATCCTCCTGTGCCCACCCCACCCCACTCACCTGTGGACCTCAACAGCTTGGGAACCTCTTCCCTCCTCCCCTTTCACAGGATCACCCTCCACACTCAATTGCCACCACAAATGTTACTTCCTCCCAGAACCCCGCCATGACTCTCCAGCGCTTTGCGTGAACAAGCACTGGGCGGCTTTGCAAGGGCTGAGGGCTGGGGCGAGGTGGCCAGGCACCGTGTGGCCTGTGTCCACGGAGTCGCCCACCAGGGAAAGGTCCGCCTTCAGCCCCTAACCGCACCTGGCAAGGAAGCGCTCCTGCAGGTCATGCCCACAGCTTGAGCAGAGAGCAGGCTCCCTGGCAGGAGTGGGGGTGGCCCCGGAGCCCCCACTCCCGGCTGCTCACCTTCAGGGCGGGAGAACTCTCGGAAGGTGGGCAGCGAGACGACCGTGTGGGAGATGGTGTGGACCGGGTCCCGAATGCAGGCCATGTCCCCAGGGCGGCAGGACTTGATGCAGCGCACGGTGTCCGTCTTTTCCTGGCGGAGCCTGCAGGGAGCCACAGTGCGTGAGGTGGAGGTGGGGACATGGCCGGGGACAGCAGTAGGTGCCCAGGCTGGGAAGCCTTTGGTCCTTACACAGCGCCACTGGGGCACAGCGCGACCCCTGCAGCTCGGTCGCTCTGCAAGGACACCGCATGGCCCTTCCTGTGCTGGGCAAGTGGGTTGAATGACTGGGTTAGGCAGCTCTAGTGCCTGGCGCTCAGTCGGTCCGGCTGGCAGAGCTCCAAGCTGTGCCCACCCACAGCACAAATCTCCCTTTCAGGGCACTCATGGACTCCAGGGCATGACCAGCCTTCCTCCGCTCCACCCGTGACCCCAGCGTGCGCCCACGGCCGCCGCTGCCTGGCTCCTCTCAAGCTTTATCGCACAGTTCACGTGTCTACACCATCATGCTCCAAATGGCTCATCTGCTACAGCGCCGGCTCCTTGGGGCTGGACGGGCCCCTGCGGTCTGAACTGGACTGACAGCGTCTCGTGGTGCAGCTCTGCACCCTCCCTGCCTGACCCCTGCATACTGGCCACCTGTCAAGACACAGGCTCTCCCTCCCCTCCGGGAAGAGGAGGGTGCTCATCCACGGGGACCCCCAATCCTGGTGTCCTCCCGTGCCGCCTGTGCTAACTCCCTGGGGCTTGGGAAATGCTGCCGGGCTCTTATCTTCCAGTTTCTAGGCTAGGAAACTTTGGCAAAGAGGCGCCTCCCTCTATGGGCTCCTGCCGTGTGGTTCCCAGGAGACACTGTTCACTGTGGTCACATTTTCAGGGCAGGGAACCACCAAGGTCTTGTTTGCTCCTAATGAGCTTTCTTGTGTGTGTGTGTGTGTGTGTGTGTGTGTGTGTGTGTGTGTGTGAATGACCATTTCGGGTCACAGTCTGGATACAAGGGCTGCTGAGTGCTGGAAACAGTCCTTGTTTCCAGGCCTCTTTGGTAGATATTTTAGAGATAAAATACATCATGAGTTCATGGTGATGTTTCCAATTCAAAACAAAGGTGACTTGGTTTTTGTTTGATGGTGAAATGGTTTTTAACTTAATCTTTTCCATGTCATGAAGAAATTATCTTTGCTCCCCATTACAATCCTGGCTCTCTGGCACACAGGGGCTGACAGGGCACCCCATAATTACTTAGTTTACCCCACACATCACACCCAGGAGTCTCATAAGAACAACACGGAAGTGACCATCACCCGCCAGGCCTGCCGGTGCACACACCTGTCACCTCAGCACTCCAGAGGCTGAGGCAGGAGGGCCGCTGCAGGACTGAGGCCAGCCTGGGCTACACAGTGAGATTAAAGTCAGCCTGAACTGGGGACTGGGGATTTAGCTCAGCGGCATAAGTGCCTGCCTTGCAAGCAGGCAGTCGTGAGTTCGATCTCTGGTACCAATAAAAAGGAAAAAGCCAAAAAAAAAAAAAAAAAAAAAAAGTCAGCCTGAACTGCATAGTGAGGCTCAGTCTCAAAAAAACAGAAGATTAGATTAAATTAAATTAAAGTATCATCACTAACATCACAAAAGTTTCCTGGATACATTTCACTCAACACTGAATAGCATCATCTGCGCTACCCAGCAGCCTGCACCTCACCTTCCTTCCTAGTTACTGAGCTGTAATCCACCGAGGGCCTCTGCTCAGTGCTGCATGTCCAAAATAGCTGTGCCTTCTACATAAGTCAGTTTGCTGGGTGTAGGATCACTGGCTTAGGTTTTTGTTTTTTGTTTTATTTTTTTGTTTTTTTTTTTGAGTATTCTAAGTATGTTATATCATTTTCTTTTGGCAGAGGGCACTGTCAGAAAGTCTGATAGCAACGTTTTTCCTTTAAAGCCATTCACTATTTTTTGCCTAAATGTCCATAATCTGTCCTCTTGCCTTTCTTAAAAGTCCAGTATTTTATAGGATATGTCTTGGTGTTCTCAGATCTCTCTCTCATTCTCTCTCTCTCTCTCTCTCTCTCTCTCTCTCTCTCTCTGTGTGTGTGTGTGTGTGTGTGTGTGTGTGTGTGTGGTGTGTTTTGAGACAGGGTTAGGCAACATAACTCAGGCTGAGCTTGTGTTCATGGTGACCCTCCTGCCTCAGCTTCCTGAGTGCTGGGGTTACGGGTGTGCTTCACCTCTCCTGGCCTTTGTGTTTTGTGGTGGACTCTTGCAATAGGAATTTTCCAGTCTCACTCTTCCTGCTGTTGCTGTTAAGGGAACTTTTCCCGAGTTGTCATTTACAGTTCCTGGCACCTCTCCCCGCCTGTGACTTGGGTGCCCTCTTCAGAGAGGTCGTAATCTGTATGATGGGTCTGCTTTGCGTATTTTGAATAATCATCATCATCTTCTTCTTCTTCTTTCATCTCTTTTGTTATTTCTATTTTAATTTTAAAAATAGTGTCTTGGGGCTGGGGATTTAGCTCAGCGGCATAAGCGCCTGCCTGGCAAGCGGAGGTCATGAGTTTGACCCCCAGCATAAAATAAAATAAAATAAAATTCTTTCGACTTCTATTTTCTTAAGGTTACCAACTTTTATGTCCTGCTCGTACACTTTTTTTGTTGCTGTTCCAGGGATCAAACTCACAACCTCTGGGGGAAGCTAGCTGAGCTAACCCTCCGGCCCCTGCTAGGATATTTGTATTTCTGAAATGGTTTGAGTCTGTTATATTATCTCATTTTTCAGGGTTTTGCACCAGGAGTTGAACTCCCCACCCTCGCTGGCCAGGCAGGTGCTGCCCGCTGAGCTGAATCTGGGCTGTTTTTCTTAACCCTCACTTATGTTTCGCTGCACATGCTGATTGGTAAACAGTTGGGTTTGTTTCCAGATAGACCAGCGGAGCGCGATCTGGCTGCCGGCGTCTTTCCTCACGCAGAGGCCCGTTCTGCCCTTTAGTCTTCCTTCCCTGTAACAGTTCTGAGCGCTGACTTGCAGGAGCTGCTATCACAGAACAGCACGGCTGGACTGGGCTGGGCTTAGAGGGCCACTTGTGCTGTCCTCGGTTCAGGAGCCCGGAAGCCCAGGGTGACGCTGTGGGTAGGGCTGGCTTGGAGCCCCTGCCCGGCCTGCCTCTCTTGCCCTTCTCCGCCTCTCAGTGTGTTTCCCATGGTCCCCCGAGTTCTCTTCGGGTAACGCCTCCGCCGGGCCGGAAGGGAGCCCTCAGGGACCTCACTTCTGAGCCTGCCCTTCCTCTCCCCGGGCCTGATCTCTGCCCAGGGTCACAGCCAGCTGTACTGGGGGCAGGGTGTCCGCAACACTGCTGTGTGTGGGGTCAGGATCCAGAGAGCCGCAAAAACCAGCCCCACAGCATCTCCCAGGGTCCAGGCTGCCCAGTTCGCACAGCATTTCCAGTCTCTTAGCTTGGCTCTGCCACCCTGTCCTCCCTGCTCTGGCCTGGGCGGGGACAGGGGTGGCAGCATGGGGCCTGGTACCCAGAGATGACCATCCAGCCCCGGGAATGCTCCCCTCTTCCTGCCCACAGCACTCGGGCTGGAGCATGGGTCCCAGACCAGGCTGCAGGGGCCTGGACACCAGCTGGACGGTACAGCAGTGGGATTCGTGGCCAGGCACTGGACCTCCACATGCGTCCGCGTCCTGGCTGCACAGTACCGGGACAGGTCCTTGCCCCCAAGGCCGCTTCGAGGACCCAACAAGCTGAATGCTTGGGGTGGCGTCTGCCCGCACGGACAGCTTAGCAATGTCGGCTGTCAGGGCTGCCGCTATCACTGCGGTCCAGGCTCCACTGTTTTGCTGTTGTTTGTACCAGGAATCAAATGCACTGTTATTATCTTTCTGTTTCTTTCTGCCTCAGGGGCCATGACCCTGACTGCACCCAGACTTTCACAACCTGCACCCCTCCGTTAAACGAGAGCCCCAGAGGCACCGGCGACTTTCCGGTCAGGGAGACACCGACGAGCGCACCCTGGCCATGGCTGGACACCCCATCCCCTGCCTCGGGTGTTATTTCAGGGGACCTGCAGGGGGCAGGCTGGAGACCGTGAAGGTGGCCTGTTGGCGCGAGCCGGTCAGTGGCATCCAGTAGGCTGTGGGACAGAACAGTGCATCCGAGCCACTGGGATTGTGTCCCCCTCACGCACAAGAAACCCGACGGTGCCGGCCTTCAGGCTAGCCGGGAACAGAACAGGCCACCAAAGAGGCAGGCAGTGCCGGGAACATGGGCAAGATGAAGTGAGCTGAGCCCTGGGGTGGTGCTGGGAGGGGATTCCGCGGCTGTGTAGGCACCGGCTGCCCCTGTGGCCGCCGAGGGCCCCTCCCCACCTTAGCAATCAGCCCACAGAAGCAGACGTGCTGCTCCCGGCCCGAATGACCAGAACCATGACGGTGGAAGATCAAACAGAACAACGGGGCACCAGAAGAGGATATACTGGACCTAAGCCTTGAAGATGCTATCCATGCACCCAGCCGTCCACCCAGGCAACTGTGTATCCCTCTACGCATCGTCTGCCCAGCCACTCAGACACCCATTAGCCACCAACCCATCCGTCCGCCCATCATCCATCCATCCATTCATCTACCAACCTATTCATCCGTCCACTCATCACCACCAACCCATCCATTTATGCATCCATCCATCCAGCTATCTGCTGAGCTCCCTTTCAGGTCGAACATTCCAAAGGCACTGAAGATCCGGAAATTTGCCCCACACAATCTTTGCCCTCAAAAAACTCACAGTCCGGTGCAGAGACAAGAAACAGTCACAGACAATGAACAAAGCAAACACTCTGGAGGAGGAGGCCCGCAGCCAGGGAGCCCAGTCAGTGGCAGCGTCCTTGGGGCCAAGGACTGTGGTGCCAAGTTTGCAGGGACAGCAGCACCGTGCAGGTTGGCGGGGCACACACCAGACCCAGGAAGACACAGTCAAGGGAAGGCAGGCCACCCTGGGGGAACACACAGCGGACGGGGCAAGTGGGGATGAGAGCCAGCAGGCTCTGGAGGACGGGGCAGTTGTGACAGCTGGGCCTAGAGCAGCCCTCGCACTGGACCTCGGAGGCCGGAGGCCA